AGGCTGTTTTCGTAAGGTGGATGGGGCAGTCTGAAGACACGGGAGTCGTGATTCAGCAGCGTGGGGGCTTCTGCTGTAGTGCTGGCTTTAAACCCAGCCTCTTGTTTCTGACTTTGTCTGGCAGGACAATTTTTGCTCAGTTTTGCTGACACTGTTATTCGTGGAGCTGTGCTGTAAACGAGCATACCAATCCAGGTTAAAATAACTCTTTCAAAACAACTGTGATCTGAGTCCACAAACGGTTTTGTCAGCATAACTGAGGGCTAACATGCTTTGTCCAAGGCCTAGGTACAGGAATGAGGGCAAAAAGTGTAACCGCAGTTTATTGACAATGAAAATACCATGCACATATCATGTAGAAACAAAACCAGAGAGGCAGGCAAAAGGTATACCTAACTGAAATTGGGCATTGCAGAAGTTACTTCTGCGTTCTCAAATACCCCAGCGGCAGAGAAAGATAAAGTAATTTTTTTTTTTCTTCATAGAGTGGAAAACAAAAACTCTCAAGAGCTAAGACTACTGTTGCCATTTGGGAATTTTTTTTTTCCTCTGGCAGCACACTATTCTCATCAGGGGCTCACCCAAAGTTTTGCTGGCAAAGTTAGCAAAGCTGGCCACCCAGTTAGCTAGATCAAGGATTCAAACTGAGTTGACTAGTGCCTCTTTTGGGGGAGGGGCAAGTGCCATGGGGAGGTGTTGGAGTTACTTTATGGTGACAGTTCCCTAGTACAGCTCCCTGTGCAGTACAGGTACAATTAGGGCTTTAATGGTGAGGCAGAAACATGTGGGACAGTGGGGAGGGGGCAGAAGAGGTCATTACTTAAGCTGAACCTCCCACCAGACTAACTATTTGTTGAACTGTCTCCTGAACAAGTTGGTGTTAAATGGCTTTTTGCACTTCTTGGGTTTAGTAAGGTGCTCGACATAGGCTTGACATTTTTGTAAGCAAGCTGGGATGACTCGAAGCTATGTGTGCAACTGGTGAGAGAACAGTACTGGAATAAAAGCTTGGTGTCAGACTGGGAGGATGTGTTGAGCAGGGCTTTTGGGTGGGGAGGGAGAAGCTCTGTGTCTGATACTATTCAGTATTTTCAGTAATTTGATGTAAACGAGGGAACGGCATGTACATATTTATTAAGCTTGCAGGTTAGTAGGCTTGGAGGAGGACAGGATTGGGGCTCACAGTATTTGGAGAAGCTGAGAAGTATGGGACAAAGCCAAAGGAAAATGCAGAGTGTATACGTTTGGGTGTGTCTAGTCAGTGGCATGAATTGAGGATGGAGAATGGCTGGCTAGATAGCAATTCTGCTGAAGACGATTGGAGACCTTTCATGGTTTATGAGCCAAGCACAATTGAACATGTTATGCATTTTGTGTACACAAAAAAGGCAAACACTACTGAAAAGTGTTATTTAATAATCATTTAGATCTATAAAAGCTGATAAAGCCTAGGCTGGAAGATGTACCCAATCTTGGACACTATACTTCAAGAAAAATGCAGATCAAACGGAAGGAGTCCAAACAAGAGTAAACAAGCAAAGGTCTGGGAAATGTTATCTGTAAGGGAGGTTGAAACAACTGGGTTTGTCATTTTATATAACAGGACACTGTAGGAAAACCAAAGTTTTCAAATATATAGAGATAGGTGCAAAGAGGAACAGAATAAATTGTTCTCTGCAATGATTGCGGGTAAGGCAGGGAATAGTGAGTATAAATTGTAGGAAAGGAAATGTAGGTTAGACATTCAGAAAGGATTTTAAATAGTAAGGACATCTGTGCACTGGGATAATTTCTCTGCAATAGTATTGCATTTCTTCATGAGAGATCTTCAAGAACAGGTTAGACAAAGTACTGTAAGGAATAGTTTAGTATATTTTATCCAACCTGAGCAGTCAGAAGGCATTAGGTAATTGGAGTCTCTTCATTCCTATTTTCTGTGGTTATATCTGCTGCTTCAGGTACCAAGGGCTGTGGACATGAAGCCTGTGTCAGCCATAGAGTTGCTGCCCCATGCCTACCTGGTTACTACTGCCTCTGCTACACCAGCTAAGCTGCTCACTTGCATACACCGTGAGAATGAGCCAGAATAGCTGATATAGCTGAGAACAGTAGAGCTTTGTCAGTATGGGTAATTTTGAGTGGAATGGATAAAACAGTACTCAGGGAGCAAGCCAGAAGGATAGAGGGGGCAGGAATAGTTGTGCAGGGATCAGTGCCAAGAGGCTAGGAAGGGCAGTGGTAGGAGCTGGAAAAGGTGCGTATCTGCATTGTGGGTCTCCTGTAGAGCTTACCCAGAGCCTTACTTCTTCAGAGTTCTTCGTCGGATTTTTTTTTTTTTTCCCATTTTCTATAGTAAAGTTAACAGAGTTGCTCCACAGCTCTGCGCTATGTGGTCATTTCAGAGCCAGAAAAACATACAAGGCTTAGTTAACTTTGAGTGGAGTATGATTTTACAATAGACACCCTCTTCTGACATGTTAGCCTCATCCTAGATTGCTGAGGGAAGCAGTAAAGGATTTGTGCCCTCTTGACATTTTCAGAGGTCAAATATGAAGTCTTCTGTCATGTTGCCAGCCCAGAGAGCTGCAACCCAGTGCTTTTTTCCAGAGGACTGGACTAGTCACGAGAGACTGAAATTGTTCTTTACAAGATTCTTCCCGTAGCAGTTCTGCATTACTTAGTATTTAACGTGCATGTGTTTTGGGGGAGAGTGTTACCTTTTTTTTTTTTTTTCCTCGGGGATTCTTTTCTTCTTGCTTTGTTCTTCTGTATGCAAGAGTTTTCTTGGACTACCTGTGACATCAGCTGAACTGCAGTTGACTTTCCTGACCATTTGCTATGGTCAGGGAAATGTCACTTAAAGTTCATGTGCTGCCTCTTACTGACGGCAGAGCTAGGCAGGAAGGGGAGAGTAAAGAATTACTGCCGTGCCTGCACATTCCGGTGGTAGAGAGCTTTTGAAGACTCGAGAGGAGACGTGCTTCGCTTGTCTCCAGGGTAGATTTTTGTACCAATTTATATATTGCATAGTGTCTTTGCCCAAGTGTACCTGAACTTCTATTTCACTTTTCTGCGATATGCGTACAGTGAAAGAAATGCATGTTTATGTTCAAGCACATGCATATTCACAAGCAGTTCGTGTGGCTTGAAAAGAGTATTTCTCAGTGTTATTTGTTGCTTGCTCTTCATCGAAGTGTGATGGTCAGACTGCCCAGCATGTCTCAGCCAGCCAGTGAAGTTTTTTGTATTATTTTTGCAGTTGTTGCAAAACCGTATCTCTACCCTTACTTTGGTTTATCCCAAAGTGCAATCAGTGCGCTCCCTTTTCATAGCTTGCATAACTTTCTCCAGTGATTTCTCTCCATAGCCAGATTGTACAAAACAATCTTTAATGTGAACGGGAACTTTTGCCTCATCGTTGTAGGGATCTGTGTACTCACTTGCTATGGTTAATTTTCAGTTATTGTTAATTTATTCTACAAATTATACTTCATTCAATTCTGTAGTCTGAATCCCATCTATGATGCCCTGGTGTGTTCAGAATTCCTGGCATACAGACTAAATTCTACTTTTTACCCCATTGATGTGAACCCAGAGGGACTCTAGGTCTATATTTTGCAGAACTTGTGTCTGTCTACTCTACTACACTTTGTCTACTCCATTTTATTCTATAGGAAAGAGTTTAGAAGTCTACACGTGAGTTAGAAGCAGCTTCTTACATTGCATTTACGCAAAGGCTTTTATTTTTTAATAGTCTTTTGAGATTTCATTATGAAGTTACATTTGAGAAATATTTAATCATTGGTCTTAAGTGAAAAATAATACGAGTAGACTGTATTTCATAGGACCTAGATGCAATATATTGGAGTTACTAACTGTACAAGTTTACATTTCTGTATTCAAAAGACTTGCAACTTATCTTTAAAGCTGAAGTCTTTTTAACTTTGCTGTTTAGCTTGATGGTAATTTAGAAACTCCACCAGGCAGTTTTAAATATGTGTATTTCAGAAATATGAAATTATTATGTTCCTTTCAGCTAGTTCTGAATACAAGCCACAATGTGATTGTTTTAAAAAACAAGCTGCTTGTGAATTTCGGAAAACCATGAGGAGCTAGTGACACTTTACCATTGCTGAGTTAGAACTAATGTCACCCTCTTTCTCCAGTTTTACTGTGGGACGTGAGTTTTGTGTGCTCCAAAGGAGCCAGGCAGAGTGAGAGATTCCTCCAGGGTTAGTACGGTCCTGGACAGCAGAGGATCTGTTTCTTAAAACATGATCCATTTTGGCTCTGGTTTTATAGTGGACCCAAGGGGGCGAGGAGGTCTGTTATATGGAGAGCTGCTGTTAATTCCTCAAGTCTTGGTTTTCTGTCAACAGACAGATGTACTTTCCTGTCAAAGTGTTCCTGTACTCATGATAGTTTCTCTTATCTAGAACAATATATATGTCCTGTGGACCTGCAGAATTTGCAACCAGCTCTTGCATGTACACAAAACACGGGTGCAGATTAAGGAAAGACTTGCAGTTTCCTTTGACATTAAAAGGTAGTAAAGAGGATTTACAGTTCATTAGGATCCTCCTCCATTCATCCAACCCTTTCATGTACCTCTTCAATGTTTCAGTGCCGTTCCCTTACTTAAGGGTCCTTGATACCTTACTCTGTGTTGAACCTTGTAAATGGCATTTATTGGGGGGCTGGTTTTGACTCATGTTCTTGGACCCAACTTTGTGAACAGTGGTTAGTTCAACTAGAAGTGTAGCCCATGTTTCTTCAGTAGCCCACAAAAAGTCAAGGTCAGCTCCTGTAGCTCCTGTGCTGTCAAATGGAAGATGTCAGTTCACATCGCTTTATACCAGCTGGAGATCTGGTCCACTGTGTTGAAAGATGCAGGAGGCAGTTGCTGCGGTATATTTCTTAACTTAGTTGGTGTGAAGGGATGTGCAGTGAGAGAACTTTCATCATTCTAATTCATTCTCTAAATGTTTTTCTCTCAACAGCTCTGAAAAGTCCAGCTGCATTTCATGAGCAAAGAAGGAGTTTGGAGCGGGCCAGGGTAAGATACAATATGCTCTTTAATGTTTTGAGGAAGTCAGGAGTAGTATGTCTTGCGTTTTGAGCATTCTGAAGCTGTTAGTGAGATGCAGAAGGAAATAATTTATATTCTGGATGTAATACAGCACTATGCAGTCAGACATTTATTGGATGGGGTCTTGTTTAGCTTGTTTGTGGTGGTGGTTAACCCTCAGTGAACTAAAAAACAGTGCCTAAAAAACAGTGAATGTAGTGCCTGGATTTCTCCTGGAGTCTTTTTTCTGGAAGTCACTGATATTCTTCTTCCTCGCTGTCCATATTTTTTTTATTTTTATGGTATCTGTTTTGCCCTTAAATGCTGCTATCATGTGGAGCTCAGTTCCACCTTTGAGGAAAGTGTATGGTTCTCTGTTACCTGCACGTGCACTTGTTTATCTAGGACACTATAAATTGAAAATTTAGTAGAGAGGATCCCCCACAAAATCTTGTAACACTGAAATCACACAGACTTCTGGCTATATAGAAAGAGGAAGCCAGGCGTCACACTTCATCCAGCACCTTTGCTAACTAGGGGGTTTCTTGATGATTTCTGTTCCTCAAAAGGCCTCTGGGGATAGTTTTTTTCTGATTAGTAAAGCTGTTATGACTGCTGGCCTAAGCTTTGTTTTAAAAGTGAAAGCACTATAAGTGAAAAAATAACAGCCGTGATTAAAACCTGTAATGGTGCAGTTTTCTGATCGACTTTAATATTTATTTTCTCTGAAGGCCCTCTCTGATGGCCAGTACTTACCAGTCTGTTATCCACCGCCCCCAGATTCCCATTTCTGGGCTGTGTAAAAGGTAATGTGCTCAGCCTGGAGAGGGTCATCTCTGTACATTGCTCTGTAGTGCATTCTCCCAAGATGGAGCTGAAAGCAGTTCTGGAAATTAAATGGGTCTTGTCATAGCATTTAGATTCTGCCTGCCAAGGGAGTGCATGGGGTCTTTAGTTTAACAAATAACATATCTTTAAACAAATAAAAGAGGATGCCCAAACCACAAGTCAGCCCCAAATGTCATCAGTATATGAAAGTATTTGCTGTGAAAAATGGAACCAGTGCATATATCTTTAATGTAAAAAGATATGTCTTGAATTTCACTCTGACACAAGTTAATGGTGTTGCACAAAAGGGGAAGAGAGGGCTTCAGCTCTTGAGGAAGTCCTTTCCAGTTTCTGTTCTGCGGGGCAACAGTGCACCTTTACACTGAGGCAAGGTACAGTCGAAGGTCATCTTTAGAAAAAGCTCATTCTCTGGGTCAGAAGATATGCCCCTTCTCTGTTCTGTGTTTATCTAGATCTCAGTAACAACTGAAGATGGTTGTTTCTCTTGTTTGTGCTGTCCAAGGTTACCTCACTCCTGTGTCTGACCAACTGAAATTGGTTCTTGCTTGTCTGTTTTTGCTGCAGACAGAGGACTATCTGAAACGGAAAATCCGGTCCCGGCCAGAGAGATCAGAGCTGGTTAGGATGCACATTCTGGAAGGTATGCCACGTGCTGAACAGGAAAACATCAACAATAAACTTTATTGTAACTACTTATTTAACTGCTTTCTAAATTGCCTCTGACCCCCATGTCTTTCTTTCAATTGGAAGCAGGCAGATCATCATGCCTGTTGCATGATTTCTTGGGAGGGATTCAACTCTGCTTGCATGGAGATTCTCAGAAGAATCTGTTATGTGAACTCAAAATTGTGCAGTTTTGTGTAGCTGAGCAACAATGAAATGGAATGACTGTGGATTGCTCTTCTGCTAAGGGAAGACACTGTAAAATATCCAAAAGGGAGCGAAGCAGATTTGATCTAATCAGTAAGCACCTCAGTTTCAGAGAGGGGAGTGCTATGCTGCTGCTAAGTACCACATCTTTGGACACAACTGAAAGGGAAAAGATGAATGAGAATTGGGTGACATCACGTTTGAGAACAGTGAATTCGTCCCATTCTAGAGTCACAAAGGCTACTGGAATTATCTTTATAACTGAAATAATACATAATATCTGTAATATCTTTATCGTGCATAGCTATCTATTGTTATCTGCAACTGTTTTTCTGTACAGTTATCTACTGTTATCTACAGTTACCTTTCTGACTAGAAGTAAGATACTGCTAAAGTGCATAGGTTGACCATTGCTGGATTGATGCCATTTTATTTACTCTCCCCTGAACAGAGACCTCAGCTGAACCCTCCTTGCAGGCTAAGCAGCTGAAGCTAAAGAGAGCCAGGCTGGCAGATGACCTCAATGAGAAGATAGCGCAGAGGCCAGGTCCTATGGAGCTGGTGGAGAAGAACATCTTGCCTGTGGAATCGAGCCTGAAGGAAGCCATTATAGGTAAGGCCAGAGGAGGATCTGTGTTAAGGGCATTTCCCACGGGTGGCTGTGATTTCCTATCAATTCATCTGCCTGTCTAAAGGAGTGCAGTCCCATGGTTGGTCTTGTTTTCCTGCCTCAGAATCACAGCCTTTCAGCCCCAAGAATTCTAAAAAGCAGAACTCCCTCTGGCCCAGATAGTGCTACAGAGACATTAAATTATAGGGAGTATGGACACCCCAGAATAATGTGAAAGCAATTGCATACCCTAAAGACTTGAAAGACTGTTGAAGATTGCGTTCCCTAGATTCTCTCCTTAAAAATCCCTCTCCCATTATAACATGTCAGCAACCTTGGTCAGGGAGAACCCACTGACTTACTCAGATCAGGGAGAGGAGACAGAATATAAACAGGTGTGATGAAACAAAAGCTGTCTGTGAACTTAAAAACTTCAGAGGATTCAACTCCTTTAAAAATAAACCAGAACAGATGTAAATCATGCCAGTGCCATTCCAAGGGCTGAAAGGAATGCTGAGGAATAGCCTTCCCACTGCCTCAGCAGTGCTGTTGCCCGTCTCCCCAGACTTAACAGTCTGTGTGCGTCTGTGGTTATTCATCCCCTCAAACATGCACAACTACTTTAAAGACAAATGGGACAACTGTGAGCAAGATGGAATACTTTTCATGAAAAAGGAAAAGGACAGTGTTGTGGGAGAGCCTGCCTTCACTGTTGCACGAGAAGTGGTTGAGGAAGAGAAAAAGTGAACTTGTGAACTGGACCATTAGAGAAGTGGCTTCCTTCTGAGTTTGACATCTCTCTGGATTTCTGTTGCTTTTATGTTAGGTGCAAACAGTAGTATTTTTCTGCTTAGCAGGATTAATTTGAGATAATGTAATCTAAAAAACATTAGTGCATTACAAATGTACACTCAAGTGAATTTATCTACTGGACATGCAGATAGACAGAAATGCTAATAGCACTCAGGGCCACCACTTAATCCAGAGCCCTTGTTGCTTATAAGACAAGAGGACAATTTGGTATTCTGTCTTGAAGAGGGATTCTACCTTCCACAGCATAGGAAGAACACCAAATAAACCATGACCCAACCTTACACTGTCTAACCTTCTTCTTTGGTGCCAAACGCTAATCAAATAAGCCATGCCACAGATCTGGGTTTGGGCAGAGTCAAGTAGCTCTTGTTATACTTCTTGATCTTGTCTGGCTAAGAAGCAAGGGAAATGATTCACCTCAGTCTGCATCATTTTATTCTATTGATAGCAGAGATGAATGCGAACACTCAAAACTCATCCAGTTTGGCCTTTGTTCTCTCATTTTTAGTTGGTGCTTTAAGCACAACTTAGACATAACTCTCCATGCCTTCATTATCTTTGTGAAACATCTAGTGTCGAGTGAAATAATTTCTTATTCCACTTTAAAGACCACAGTTGATGTTTGTGTTTCTAGTTGGACAGGTGAACTACCCAAAGGTTGCAGACAATTCCTCCTTTGATGAGGACAGCAGTGATGCCCTCTCCCCAGAACAGCCAGCCAGCCATGAGTCTCAGGGGTCTGTCCCATCGCCGATGGACTCCCGGATTTGTGAGCCTCTCCCTAGCGCCACTGGCACATCACTAGCTCAGGTGAGAATGTGGTAGCCTCCTGCAGTGCCCTGGAGCTTCACAGCTACTGCTGATTTTTAGGGGATCCTAAAAAGTGAGACTGAGGGATCCTTAAAAGGTATAGTGCGTGAGATTTCACAAGGGGTCTTAGCTCCTATGTGTTGTTGGTGAAGTCCTCTGTTTATTCAGAAGCTCCTATAGTGGTGCCATGTAGGGAAGGGGGCAATCATTACTTGGTGATACAGCCTGTGTTGGTGTGCAACTGATCCTGGCAGGCAAAGCTGGGAGATACAGGTGTGGGATTTTGATTCCTTTTCTGCCCTAAGAAGTTGTGCTGCTTCTCAGGCACAACTGAAGCAGTGAGTTAGAGGAGTCTAATTAATGACTTGAAACTTGTGCTGCTTCTCTTGAAGTGTCAACTTACTGCACTCTCTTAAACCATTTCCGTCCTCGTATGTGTAGTCATTACATCGTTTTCTGTCCCTGCAGGGTACATCCCAATTGCAGATAAGTGCAGACCCCAGTGAAACACTTTTCCTACCTGAACAGCCACCCCCGCCTCTGCCACCTCCGCCTCTTCTGCCTCCTAGTCTTACCAATGGAGCAGCTCTTACTGCTGCCAAGCCCCCACCAACACTCATTAAGGTACTATTTTGGCTGGTTTCTTCATTGTTGTAGTCTGATGGAAGATAAGATCGTCACGTCATCATGTATTCTGTAAAATGGGTCCCGAATGCAAAATGTTTTGAAACAATCAGCATTATCCATAACTAGAGTCTGTGTGTCTGCACTGGATGAGCAAGTGGTCTGGTGTCCTGGGAAAGATGACCTGCATTATGGTACAGTGTAAGCTGCTGCGGGTGATTATACTGTTGCCCGAGTTAGAGCAGCATGGAAAGACCCTGACGTCAAATCTGGAGAATTTTGAAATTAAAATCCCACCGTGCGTTTTGATTTACATGGAGTGTTATGTTATTTCAGTGTTACCATTCTTAATTGCTACCTCCTTTTCTTCTAAATAGCAAAGCCAGCCCAAGTCTGCTAGTGAGAAGTCTCAGCGCAGTAAAAAAGCCAAGGAGTTGAAGCCGAAAGTCAAGAAGCTTAAATATCATCAGTACATTCCCCCGGACCAAAAGCAGGACAAGGGAGCTCCTCCCATGGATTCATCCTATGCCAAAATACTGCAGCAGCAGCAGCTCTTTCTCCAGCTTCAGATACTCAGCCAGCAGCAGCAGCAGCACTACAACTATCAGACCATCCTGCCAGCTCCACCAAAGTATGGGTCCTAGATGGCAGCTCTCTCTTAGGAAGCACTTGCTTCCCCAGTACTGTTATTAGACACATTGTGTTGTGGGTGTGGCGGTTGGGTGTAACACACTCAACCTCGTAAAGTTACAGCGAGCCACAAAAGGGCCAGTGTCAGATGAATCAGACAAAAGTAGCTGAAGTGAGTTGGTTGGCAGGGTAAGGGGCATGGTTATAGTCAAAGGCACTGGTGTACTTTAGTGACTAGGGTGTCACTAGTGACCCAGATATTTCTGAAGATGACTGTTGACACTGAGGGCCTCCAGTGCCTTTCCACTTTGGTTTTGATCCCTGTGTTTTTAATTTCCCTGCAGGCCTCCAGGAGAGCAGCAGAGTGGTGCCAGTGCCCCTGCTGTACGCAATCTCTCTGCCACGGTCAGCAGCACATCTTCAGTATCCTCAAGTTCCAGTGGGCTGATGCGACAAAACAGTAATGCTGCAGTGGGGAAGCCTGGCCCTCTCCCTGCTAATTTGGATGAGATGAAGGTAAATGTCTTGTGGAGCTGCACAGCCCTTTTTTTTGCCATCGTCAGTGGAGAGGGCAGTACTGAACGATGTTGTTGCCCCAGAGCAGGGCTGAGGTGGACTGACAGGAGTTAGTCCTAGCAGGTGACATTGCTACCCTGCAGTTTGTACCTGAGGTAGAGGTTTATTGGCCTGCAGGAGGGTCAGTTTAGTCCTTTGCTCCATGGTTATGGTAGCTGTTAATAAAGAGTGTATGTTCTCTTAATGTTGCCTGCTTTTTTTCCCCTGTATCAGGTAGCAGAGCTGAAGCAAGAGCTGAAGTTGAGGGCCTTGCCTGTCTCGGGCACAAAGACGGGTCTGATTGAGCGTCTTAGAGCTTATCAAGAGCAGAACGGTGCAGCCAGCCAAACAACCCCCACTCCCAAGCCCAACACAGCAGCTGTCATCCCAAAAGCTGCCGAAGTGGTGGTAGCCTTCCCAGCTGCCAGGCTGAGCACAGGGCCAGCCCTGGTCACCACTGGCATTGCACCAGCAGAAGTAGTTGTGGCCACAGTCACTGGTGGTGGCGTGATGAAGTTTGGCAGCACAGGCTCGACTCCTCCTGTTTCTCCAACTCCTTCTGAGCGCTCACAAATGAGCACAGGGGATGAGAATTCGGCCACCGGAGACACCTTTGGAGAGATGGTGACTTCACCCCTGACCCAGCTCACCTTGCAGGCGTCTCCAGTGCAGTTCCTGGTGAAGGAAGAAAGCTCCAAGTCTGCCTCCTGCAGCGTAAATGCGGCACCCAGGTCAGAGCGGTGCAGCACTGGTAACAGCAGAGATGCAGAAGTTAAGGACAAAGACCAGATGCTGCAGGAGAAGGACAAGCAGATCGAGGAACTCACTCGCATGCTGAAGCAGAAGCAGCAGCAGGTTGAGATGCTTAGACTACAGCTAGAGCAGGAGAAGCGCTCTCAGCAGTCACTACCGGCCCCAGCGGCTGCGGGAGAAGGAACAACCCTTGCCTCCAACCCAGTAGCGTTTGGCACCCAGGTCAAGAGTGAAAACGGTTTCCTGAGTTGCCAGTTTGCAAATCAATCCAGTGGCCAAACAGACCAATTCAGCCCTGCACCAACAGCTAGCCAAATGGACACTTTGAATCCAAGCCCAGTGCCAAAGAAAGCCGTGACGGTGAAGCAGGAGGTGCCAGCTGCGGAAGCAGAGCCGCCGTGCCAGTCCCACAGCCCGCGGCTTTTCCTTGGCCAGCAAGGGAGCGCCCTGAGCGACCTCATCAAGGGCACCCCTCCCCCCACCCTTATCACCGACTCCACAGGGACCCACATCGTCCTCACCGTGACCAAGCAGAGCGCCGAGAGGCAGGGCCTCTCGCCCCACGGGAAGGCAGGGAGTAGCTGCCCGGCCTTGCAGGTAGGCAAGGGTTAGATCACAGCCCTGCTGCAGTTGGGTTCCTCTCTCCCTCTTCCCGCTTTTACGGTTCAGGTTACCATAGGATGACTTAATGGGGTGGAAATTCAATGCAGTAAATACTAAAATGGCTGAGTTGCTTGCTACGATGGCTGGTAGATCATCGCTTTGTAAAACAAAGCAGTGTAAGCAGATCTTCAGCAAAAAGACTAGAATTTGACAATGAGGAACTATGTACAGCAATCCATGATTGACTGTGTGCATCACAGGCTGTTCAGCGTTGGTCCAAACACATGCTTCTGCCTTTTGTCAGGCAGGATCTCAGGCTTGGAGGACAAGGGTTTGCTGCCACGTTTCACTACTTTTTGAAAGAAAAACTATGCCGGTGGTATTAAAAAAAGCAGAGTGTATTTCACCTCTTGTCCTTTATTAGAGAGATTGTAGTTGGAGTTGAATAGGTCACCTTGTCCACTGAGAGCTGCAGTCAGACCCCGGGAGGTGACTTTTTGCTTTTTGACTGCTCTTTGTTTTAATGCGTGTCAGTATTTCAGTGTTAACAGTGTCTTTCATCAGAGATGATCTACTGTTCCTCTGTTGGCATGAGCTCAGCACTTAACAGAAGTGTTCCGAGTGTTTCTTCCAGGAAGGGATAAATATGCGCAGGTTTTATGGCATAAGTCAAACCCCAGCATCTTCCATGGCATCAGAGATGATTTTCATTCTCTGCTGCTACATTTCTTGCACCTTCTTGCAGAGCAAGTGGCAGTGTCGACCATCAGGGACAGGCACTGAGCAGGCTGCATTTGCTGTGTAGCAGATGACAGTTCGCTGTCTAAATATCAGCATCCGGTGTCACCCTTGATATCCCAGGGTATCTCACCTGAACTTCAGCCGCTGCTCCAGAAGGGCACAGGTCCTGTGTCAGGTCTGCCCGCCCTCAAAGGGATGTCATGGATAGCCTTGAGATTTAGACTGGTACGACCTCCTCTTTTAGAACTCTGAATCCCACCTCCATCTGATTTCTGTCCTTGGTGAAACAGAATGATTGACTGAATTTCCTAAAGAATAAAGAGTGGGGAAGAACAAACTCCATAAATCCTTTAAGAAACACAAGCCTTGCTCCATGTTGTGTCTGGGGAATAACTTCTCATGGATACCCTTTTCTTTCCAGAGAGTACAATCATCACCCGCTAAAACTTCGAGCCAACCGCCGTGTCAGCTACCTGCAAGCACCCCTCAGCAGCCCACACAGCAGCAGAAGCAGCAGCAGCAGCAGTCCCTGCAGCAGCAGCCGCCGCCCAGAGGACTAAACCAATCTGTCAGAAAGGTAGCTCGTTGCCTGCTCACTTCTTCCTTGTTTTTGTTTGCCTGCCGCCGGGATTTGTAGCAGCAGTGGGAAGGGAACACACAGGCACAATCCTGGTCAGAGACCATCATCACAGCAACTGAAATCTCACAGCAGCTTCTGCCACAGCTTGCAGCTGTGTGGAGTGTTTGGTTTTCTGCTTGAATGTGGCAGCAGAAGGGGTGC